GGGGAAAAAACAATGAAAGATTATGCCTCTTTTACAAAGCAAAAACAAGGATGCCACCGAGAAGAAAAACAAGAAAGACAATCAGAAAAGAACGGAACAATTTGATTTCGATTGAATAATCCTTATTTGGAGCCTATCCAATCTGTGAAATCAAAGAACTTACCAATACCCCAGTCATTGTCTTCATGCACCACTTCCTCCTCTTTCGTTTCTGCTTTGACCTCCGTTTTCGCTTCAGCTGCTTTCTTGGCCTGAATGGCGATTTTATGGGAGACATTGAGCAGGGTACTATTGAGTAACACTGAAAAGAAGACTTAATACCTTACCTGATATTCTTTTTGCCTTTGCCTACAGAATCGGTCATCACATTGGTCGTTTGGTCTCATTTCCTGTCGTGGGAAGAAGTCTTGGAGAGCATTATAGCCCACGTACATAGAGACTTCTCCAAAGTTCAAAAGATACCTAATAATAACCATTTGATTGCCGTGAAAAATATAGCTTCTCTGGAGCTTCAAAAAAAAAGAGAAGCAATTTGACCTACTTGAGAGTATTCTGCACCAAGAATCCAGCGACAACTGCCATTGTCGTCGGCAGTGATGCAGCACAGACACCCTCTCTTTTCAAAGTCCTTTCATCAATGTTTGATGCGACAACAAGAGGAGGAATACACTGAAGATGGATTCGGATGCAAATAAAAATAAGAAAACAATAGATAAACGTGTATTCCAAAGCCTTACAGCAAAGCAAGCAGTACGTCCAGGCTCGATATACTGGATATGTCCAGAAACAGCATTCTCGCTCACACCCGATTCCATCCAAACCTGATTTTCTTCGTTGCATGCCTAGAAAGAACGGTAGTGCATCATGAAGTTTCGAAGGCAAGAAGTAAGAGTAGAGAATAAGGGAGGAGAAACAAATTGAGGTGAAAAATACTAATTCAGCCAATAATGAATTGGATATGATAGAATGAAGGCAAATATTAATAAAGCGAGTGAGATGAAACAGCTTGGTATGACAAATTATTGACTCTGCAGTGCTAAATAAGAGGTAGAGTATTGTGTATCGCCATTCACCTGCTCCGCTTCCTGGTTTGTTCTTTTTTTACACAAATAAAGCGCCGTTTCTTAGAAGTAGAGGATTATAATGGGTTTTCTAACTTTATTCTGAGTTTTTCGCTCTGATTTGTGCTTAGTACCTTCAATAGTAAAAGTTGCAAAAAAAAAAAAAGATCAGCAGTTTGCTGGCGGGGCCTCGAAGCAAAAGATAGCTCTTTGCCCTTAGATAAATAGCTTACAGGAAAAAAGTACTTGCTGAAGGAGATTTAGAATGAACATTGCTAAATGTAAATCGCAAGGCTGATTCAACATCTCCTTCGTATCGACGTCTCTGGAAGAATTTACGGAAATTCTGTCAAAATTGGCTTACAGATAAAGCGTTCAAAAATTGAGCCTTGACGGAAACAGCAGCGCAAAGGGTGGCTACTGATGAGAACAAGTCCTCAAATGTGGCCCATTGCTTGTTATTCCAGGCTAAATTTAATGCTAATGCAATTATTGAAGAGCCACGCTAATTTAAACGGAAAAATCATTCGCAATGCTTCCACAGAAAAGCTTCGCAGATATGGAAGGCCGATTTGGAGTCAACCTTCTAAGCTGCAATAATACGCCCTTTTTGGCTTGCTACGCCAAAAAAGGGCAAATTGGCTCACCGTATTGACGCACATCCGAGCTTCGAAGTTATCAACACAGCTAAGAACTAAATCGACTCTTCCTCCAGTCAATGAGCCATGTCTGGAAGTTGTTGGTAAATCACAAGGAAAATGAAAATAACAGCAAAGAAAGCTTACCTTATCCGGTCTACAAATTTGTTGAAATTCTCCACAGTTATAATATTGTAATTATGAGTTTCTATGACAACATCGGGGTTAATGTGACTGCAAAAAAAAAAGAATTCTAACTGATCAGACATATATAAGTCGTAACTAAAAGATAGTTAAAACTAGTAACGGCGATATGTACAATTCAGCATATATTTATTGATATTTATAGCTTGTAAGATCTTTGCATGATAAAAAGTCAAAAGAGGCGTTCAAAGCATAAAGATAACCTACGTAAGAGTATCCTTAGCAGCTTCAACTTTACTAAGACCTGACTGATGAGGTTGGTAGAATAATCGATTCATATTTGCCAGTTCCACTTTGTCGTAATCAAATAGAATAAGTTTACCAATAGCACATCGCGTAAGCATTTCCGCCACAACACTACCGACACCTACACTGACGAAACTTTAACAGAACTTAAGCTAGAAAAGAGAAGAACAAGATTCAAGTGACTTACCGCCTATCCCCACAACTGCAACGGTCTTTTCTCTTATTTTCTCGTAATCCTTAACGATTCCCATACGTTTTAGAGCCATGAGACGACTGTATGGGTTTGAGTCGACAACCTAAAGCAATGCGAGAGTAACTTTATCCAATCATATTTTGTTGAAATAAGAGCAAACAAATTAGAATCGTATTCGACGTACTGGAAAAGCTTTGAAAAAAAAAACTTGGAATTTGATA